AAAGATAAGAAATCGATATATACTGGTATGTCCACAGATTTATCTGGGTCTTTCTAGGCAACAACGAAGGAAGAAGAGTAGGGCATGGGGGCAAAAGCAAACAGGCGGCCGAAGAAAAGAGGGCAGAGCAAACAGTCGACCGAAGAGAAGAAAGGGGCACAGAGTATCGCAGATAGTCAGCGTAAGAGCACAGAGAGTCCAGGTAGAAGGAAAGCCAAGCTTCGCATCCCATCGTCCATATCCGGCCCAGCTGCTATATCTCAAAAGTGAATATCAATGTTATCAGTGGCGGCGCGTGGTCATTTTGACAACCGGGGCAAGCTACTGCGGGACCAAGTCACCCCCATCTACGGGGACAGGATGAGCGCTGTAAGTTCTCCCATCATTTTATGAGTATAAAAACCATTCCATCGGTAACAACCAATCGGCAAAAGCGACAATTTTTAACGATAAGAAAGTGTCTTTAAAACCGGTCCAAGTCAAGGGATTAATAAATATAGACATAGTTTATTTTGAAACCTTTTTCAAAAGGAAAGGCAATATTTACCCAGATAAATACAATGATATATTAACAGAAACTTCGGGAAAGCAGACAAAACCTAAAATAAGGTTTAAAACGTTACTATGAAGAAAGGAAAGGTAATGCAAAGATAAGGACATGCGTCGCTCACTCATAGATATATATGCTGCTAGACTTCTACTGCTTGAACATATATGCAACACGCCGCGGTTTCTTGGAAGCAAAATGCTCAATAACGCGCTGATTAAAGTCATGCATCCCAGAAATAACGTCTCTGTGAATGGATAAAACAGCCAAGGAATTTAATCTATCTTGCTTCATTGTGTTTCTGAGATACGTTTTAATACGCTTCAGCGTGCTGAATGTTTGCTCTGCGTCGGCGGAAGAAATAGGCGTCGTCAAAATGATGTCCAGAAATTTTGCAGACGCCGCAAAGGTAGTTACTAGAGTGTTATCTATGAGGAACCCATAGAGCGCGCAAGTTGATGTGATGTTCAAAAAAGTTTGATTGGTGTATATACATCGCAATTCATTTTCCAATTTAGCCACGTTTATCATGGGGTAAAATTTGGAGACAGTAGCCAACAAATGGATGGGAAATTGACGTGCAAATTTAGAAAAATTTTTGGGGTTCATCAAAGAGAACGCGGCAAGGTGTTCAGTGCGCAGACGATCGCCTATTTGATTCACCAGAATGTCACAGCATTCCTTTGCAGACAAAATCAAACGCTGCGTTGTTTGCCCGCGGCGTAAAGAAGCACTCCATGTGTCGTCGTATTTTATTGTTTCTCGGATACGAGATACAGCATCGCAGAAGTCTGAAATACACGACTGCACAGACGCTCCATCCATTAGCCTTGACTGCAATGCGCCGTATAATACATCCACGTGATAGAATATTGTGGAGAAAAAATGAAAACTCACCATCTTCTAACAGACGCTTTAGACCTGTCGCCTCCCTCACAGAGCAGAGCGTTCGTCCCAAACCGGAGAGCTCTGAATGCCATTGAAACACTCAATGAGCTCAGACCTAATTTCAGACACGCCCTGCACCACGCGTGATTGGAAGTTCCAACGTGTTGGTGCACAAGCTGGGAGACGGCAGCTACATATCTGGCGAAGGAGGTCAGAGCGCTTCGGCGAAACGGAAAAAAATGAAGAAAACCCCGAAACAGTTGCAAAAAATATACGGACGAGAGGGGTATCAAGACACATATTTTTAATAACGAGGTTAAATTGGTGTGCATAACAATGTAAAAAATGCGCATGAGGAAAATCTTCTTTTATATAAACTTGAACACCATGTTTCGACCCACTCATGACTGCCGCGCCGTCATAAGTTTGAGCTATCAATTTTGACTTCGCGTTTTAAGGCTGTAACACTTCTTTCAGTACAGCCGATATCCCGCAAGCCGTGCGATCAACGATTGGTACAAAGCTGTAAAATCTCTCGGTAGGTTTACCATCTTTCACAAACCGAAAAATCACAGCCAGTTGGGAAACGCACGTGATGTCAGTTGTCTCGTCAGACTGAATCGAAAGGAACTGGCAATTTTCAATTTCCAGAGCTAAATGTTGTAAATAAATTTTATACATTGAGTCGAGCAAATCATTTTTGATATCCTTAGATGTCCCTTTCGAAACACTTGCGGCATCAAGATGATCTCTCAATACTGTTGTATCTAGGGATGCGGTGTATTCCACCATATCCAAAAATACCCCCTCTATTAGAAGAGCCAGCCCGTTCATCGTGCCCACGGAGGGACAGCTCGTGACAACCAATGAACTTTTAAAACATCTATCAATCGACCGAGAACATGGCGGTTTTTCTCGACGTTTTGGTTGTGCCGACGAATAAAAACCGCGCGTCCTTCATCCAACTGTGCTGCAATATTAACATTTCCGAATGTTCGGTATTTTACTGCATTGTCCAGATGCTCCATAGAAGATTGATGATCCCTGGCACGCTCGGAAAGATGTTTAAGATCTCTAAAACCAAATTTACACCAACGTGAGTCACGGGCGGTAGCAAAAAGTAGGCAATAAAAACAAAAAAGTGCATTTTTGTCCTCGCTGTAACACAACCATTCGTGTTTTTCATACCAAGTTTCTGCGCAGAATATACGCCGACGCTTTCCTCCGTCATGGGATTGTTCCAGTGAACAATTTTTTGGTTGATAAGGCCCAAGACGTTGTACCTCTAATTTTTGTTCCAGCGGCAGCTACGAAAACGGAGTGCGAAGTAGTGCATCAACCTTATTCATCATGAGGTCTAAGGCTAAGAAATCCGAAACCGGAAAGAAGTGAGGAGCTCAAAAGGAATGTGGAAAATCGAAAGCAAATGGACTAAAGGTCTCTAACCGATTCAAATAGCGAAACAAGCGACAAAAACGAAGGCGAGGAAACTATCAACTCTTCAAGCAACCAACGAACGAGAAGGAATGCGTGAATATGTCAACACGTTGTTGTAAGAAACGTCGGCATTGTGTCGTCATAATTTCGGGGCTAGCCCCGATCGGCCCCGATGATTTAGTAAAAGAAACAGAAAACAAACGAGACAAACGCGGCGAGTGGAAGATAAAGGAGAGAATACGATATACAATGAGCAACCGGGGCAAAATCGGCGTCGCCCCGTCGACGTTCGGCGAAGGCTTTGCGAGCGAAAAATGAACCATGTCGGGAGAATATGGCTAGTGTAGACAGTCTGTGCAACCGATATTGAGGTATTTTTCGAATATTTTTTATTATACCGAAAAAACACCCGGGGCATTGCCCCGGTTGGCCCTATTGACGTGCCGCCACTGAATGTTATATTGGGGGTGTCCCGTGATAGATTAAATGACGACGAACTCGACGGCTAAAATATTTGGAAAACCATCACTGATTTCTAACAATTTTCACCAATAGGATTGAACAATCATATTTCGTTTTTCCTGCTAGTGCGACTTCAGTGATGCTGTTGTAGCGGGCAGGCTACATAAGAATAGTAGGATAGTTAGGATAAGGATAGGAAAAAAGATTTACATATCTATCCCGGGGATGCCATGTCGGGTATGGGATTAGTTTTATTGTTTGTCTTCGGAAGCATGGACTTGATGGTGGAGTAAGCCGTAACCGACCAGCAGTTACGTTAACCCCCAACGACGGCGAGGAGTCCAGCAATCCTCTCACACATAACCATCCCTGCATGGGATTCGGACCTGCGAACCCACGCAGAGTAATTAGAGGTGCGGTGGCGAGCGTGTCCCTTACGCTTAGCCCGTTGAGCCACACCGCCGCGCCTGCGTATTCTAGTATTCTTCACCACATATTGTTAATAGTGCATGTTATTTGCCTGAAACAAGGTCGTTGCTCTAATTCATTCCCTTTATGATATATTTTCCTTCGCTCAGTGCTGCTCGTGTTTATCGTGCGCTTTGTTAGTTAGAAATTTGGTTTCATCATATATATTGGGGTTAAGGTTTTAGTGTATATTTCGTTATCTGTTATTTGGATTGTGCATCTAAATATACGAACATTCAGCATTCAATCTATTGTGTGCTTATTGACCTCTGAAGGAGTCAGTTGGGGTTTTACTCCGCTAACGTGTGTTTAATAACAGGGGAGTAAGAACGCGCAGATAGGGTCAACAGTCCCCTATACTGTAATAGGTATCCCCAACCCCTTAATGAGGATGTCCCCATGATAGATCAAATGGCGACGATCTATGGAGCTAAAATACGTGGAAAAAACACTATTGACGAAGTGTCTAGTTTCGTGTTTTTGAACATCTTTAATCTTTCTTAATTTAGGGTACATGCTATAACTTGCTCACATGCTCAACCCGTGATAATAAAGTAACAATTGGCAGTAACTAGAGCGCAAGAAGCTAAACACTTGAAGTATTAAACGTACTGTATTAGTATTCATTTACGTTTCACCGTTAAACTATTGCACTAAAAGTCGGTGGGCCATTTTTAATCGTTACAAGTGCCGTAATTAACCCGCGGTTTGGGAACCCCAGGTTCAGGGGCATAACTTGTGTAATTTTTTTAGCTTCCCTTTAATCAGTATTAAGTTAGATCGTTTGTGAGTATTTCTGAGAATAAATAATGTGACTGTCTTTGTTCGTTTTGCCACATTTTGCGCCCTCCAGCAGCGTGCCGCCCGTGGATTTATCTACAAGATCCAATGGGTAGCTACGTCACTGCATCTAAACCTTTATTTAGAAGCCCATTTAGTACCTCGACGTAATAGCAGTTCAATTAGCCTGTAACACGAGCTGCGGTAATTTCATTATTGGCAGGTTGCCACATTTCATCTACTAAACCAATAAATCCAACTTCCTTGAATATGTGAGCGCTTAAAAACTGTAATATGCAAAGGTTACCTGTCAATAACATTCATAAACAGTTCTCTCAGCAGCTAAACAAGCACCCATAAAGTAACCTGGTAGGCACATTCTGATACATTACTACAACTATATACTGACATTTGAAGCAAATGTAGATGATATAAACAATGTATTTACAAAAAGCGCTCCATTGAAATGGAAGCTGTAGGGTACCCACATAAATGTAACAATATTGAGAAAGTATGAAAAGTGCCATAAGCAAATATTGAGAAGACAAAATTGGCCAATTTATAAGTTTTCAAAGACTGGGGTTTGCAAGCACGAAAATAACTTTGGATTAAATCTAGAATTACCCCTGACAAGTGATAAACTTCAAAAAATTTATTTTTGTGACATAGAGTATAATCTTGATTTGCGCTATTTTCACGAATTGTCTTCCTGTTTCATGATTGAAAATAAATGAAAATGTCTACACAAAAACAATGACGAGTTGTTTGATGGTGAAATTGATTCCAACAAATTCCAGACAATTTTAGAGTATATACGTGGATATAGAGTATATTTAGAGTATATACGTATATATAAGTGGATAAATTTTCAGTTTCTAGTCACAGATCCAACTGCCAATACTTTGTCATCCAATAAACGCACTGCCTCTCCGATAAAAAATTAAAAACAAAAGGAAAGCCATCTTGGATTCACTTTTTGTCGTCTGTGCTTACACCAAATTTAGCTTTCATCTTTTCCAAATTTTCTTGCTTCTTTTTAGCATCTTGTTTCTTGAATGTCTGAAAGTGTGTAATTAAACCAAATGTCACTTTTATAATTTGAAAACATTGCAATATAATAATATACATGATCCCAATATAATTGAACTAAATAAATTTGTTCACTGTTCTAATGCAAATGTTAAGTGATTTTATCTATATATTAAATATGCAAAATAATATTTAAAGTGGAATGAGTTAATGACTAATAGTTTGAAGGCTAATATAATAAGTAGCAGATTAGAATAAATGAGATATCTGAAAGGTGACACAATGATAAATGATTCAGATATTAGTTCCCTTGCGATAATCTTACGTGAATGTAAAAATAAAGGTAAAGTCAGTTCTTCAACCAATGTCATCATTGGTTATATAAAACTAAGCCATATTGAATTAAAAATTATATTATAAAGAATAATATAGATTCATGCTCGATTTCTGGAAGCCAAACGTGGAACACGTACCCTGTTTGGATTGTAATATAAAACTACAAGATATCTGTTGCAAACATTGAAACCAGATAAATGATCACAGGCATTCTTTGCATCAAATATATCTTCATATACAATATATGCAGTTCCCTTTGACTCAGCTGTAGTTCCCCTGTAATGAACAATAAAATAAATAGTCAGTACATTGAATGTTGAAGAGAATAGAAAAGAGAAGTTTTTAATTGTGACCTAATGGGCTGAGATCAATTCCTTGAAATGAACAAGTAAAGTTTAGTGTTCCACACTACATTGGACACAACCATCCTTGGCCAAATATTTAGATTCTTTTTACCTCAATAAATGTATATTTTCAATAAAAATGATATCTTACATTCGTATTTGTCTGATTGCACCGTACTTTCCGAATATATCATACATTTCTTCAGCTGTGATTTTGTATGGTAAATTCCTGACATATAAAATTCTGTTAACTTCTGGTGGAAGTCTCACCTGAAATATAAAAAATATTATATAACAATTGTCATGAAATGGAGTTTTTGTTAATCAAAAATTTTCAAATTAATATATTATAATTTTGAAAACAGTCGTTTACACAAAGTATTCATAAAAATGAATAAAATTTGAAATTGTTGACAACAACGTGTTGATATTTATTTTCTACCTTAGGCGTGGGTCTTGTAAAACTGAAAATTATAGACATGAATGTTATTAGCCGCTATAAAGTATAGAATCAACAGAAACGAGCAGATATTCTGGTGGAGGTAAAAAGGAATACAGGAGGTCAATGTTAAAATTAAAACAGAGTTACCAGCACATTCGATAAATATTATTAAAATTGGTTTAAATATCCATTTGTGTTTGATGAAGCACTCGAAAAAAAATATTTTAGGTACGGTACCCGTATTTATAGTAATAGGCAGGCATTCACAGCTATGCAATTTCATGTCGTTGTGAAAGTGCAATAGATTAAGATATAAAACTGCTTTGGCAGTTTTGTAACGATGGCAGACTTTCAAAATCACAAATTTAGTAGGCTAGTGTCCGAGGGTCGATAAATTATTATTTACTAATTTTACAATTGAATTTATTCATGAGAATTATTACAGTTAATTGATATAGGCTACCTTAACTTAATTCTGATGTGATAATTCTGTCATAATTCAGTGATTTAAATTCATTTTGATGACATGGCACTTTCTTCAACATTCAACAAAACTAGGATTACAAAACTTTAAAATCTGGAGTGATTGATGAAGTTGCAGTGGAGCTTATTCCAGTCATTCATTACAGAACCCACCGCTGAATGGTAAGTCAGGTCCGCAGGTACGAACACGGTACCGTACGGTACCATACTGGTACCGGTATGTATTTCATTATAATTCGCGACGTCTTACGAAAACTATCATATAAAAACTAAAGCAAAATCATTTACAATTTAAAAACTTACATTAGCTCGCCTTGCCGCTTGCATAGCCATCTTGAAATTCAGATATTTCGAATAAACCAGCGAAAACTTAACCTAACAAGCGCTGTGAAGCCGAACAACAGACAAGAAATCGTCAAATAGTATTTATGTATAGAAAGATCCTACGCGTAAAATAGGAATGTTCCCCTTTAAAACAATCAATAGTGCTATAATATGACGCAATAACGATAGGGAAACGCGAGCGAATGCTCAATGCTGTTAAAAAGTGTCATCAGTTTTACCATTATGATGTGGTCATTTTGATCATAATTGCCTACCGTGGATATCGATATTCTAATATTACAGAGGCTGGAGCTTGGGTAGTTTGTTTTTATAAAATGTTGCGTCGATTTTCATCTAATTTTTCCTTTAAACACAGTTGGTGAAATGCCATTTCTGATCTGTTGCCCAATGCTCAACAGGCTTTGTTTGCGCAATGACATTTGTCATTGGTTTGCGCTTAACGTCAATTTATTTGCTTTCTCATATTCTCGCTAGCTACTGCTCTTGATATAATTTTCTTTGTAGTACTGAGTAGGGTTCCAGTAACAAGGCGTCCTGCAATCAATAATTCAGTGTTCTGCAATCTATTTTGGATTTGAAAAGAAATTTAGATCATGGACGATGATATCACAGGGGCCCAAACCATGGCGGAAAGTCTGAAAGCACAAGTATGTATATGTGTTTTTTTATTCCAATGTCAAAATGTGTTGCATTCTACAGAAATAACAATATGTAAACAATGCTAACGTTATGTTCAACATATTTGCTGTGAAATTTTCATGATTCTTTTGCAGGGAATCAAATACATGTTTGGAGTGGTTGGAATTCCTGTCATAGAGGTTGCGATTGCAGCACAGGCAGTCGGCATTCAATACATTGGAATGAGAAATGAACAAGCTGCTGCATATGCTGCTGGTGCTATTGGATATTTGACTGGACGGCCAGGTTCCCTTTTGATCTGATTGTTCAAATTGTTTATCAGTTTTCTGTGGCATGTTTGATCAAGTTTTTCAAAATTTTTGAAAACCAAATTTATTTTATTTCTAGTCCATTTGAGTACTTTCAGATCCTTGTACTGTACTGCATATTATTTCACAATTGAATGCATCTAAACGGCATAAATTTGCTTCAAAAACGTGGATTATTGATTGTGTGGATGGTACTTTTAAGATAAGGCATAGAAATATCATATTTTTACTGGAAATGTTCAACAATTTCAGATCAAATGAAAGTTGCTGAAGCATTGAAAATATGCTTCTATTTAAGAATTCTAGAAAAACTAGCTATTAACCATAATTCTAACTCAAGCTCAGAGGAGAGAGAGTGGTGAAGAATTATTTGAATTTTTTATGCGCACTGATATTATCAATGATTTTCTGTAATTCACAGGTGTATGTTTGGTTGTGTCAGGGCCTGGTCTGATACACGCTTTAGGTGGAATGGCAAACGCTCAAGAAAACTGCTGGCCCATGATTACTGTTGGAGGTTCATCTGATCAAGATCAGGAACAGATGGGGGCATTTCAAGAATTTGCCCAGGTATATTAGGGGTTACCATAACAAGGTTATTTTACCATTTTTATAAGTCTAAATTTATAGCTATTCTTGTATTTGTCTATAGCTTTTGTTTCCTTATAACACGGATTTGGGACTTCAGAATGATTAGGCCTATTCAGTTATTTTCAGTCTATATTTACCCCAATTTATCATCTCTAGGTAGAAGCAAGTCGGATGTATACCAAATTTTCTGCTAGACCATCTAGTCTTGAAGCAATACCATTGGTTGTTGAGAAAGCTGTTAGAACATCTATATATGGAAGACCTGGTGCTTGTTATATTGATATTCCTGGCAATTTTGTAAATGCTTCAGTTAGAAGGGGTGATTGTAGGTAAGCTTCACCAAATTGCTGATTGTTATACAGCAGTATGTAGTAACCTGAAATGAATATTTTCAAGTAAATTATTTTATGGACCCTGCTTTCTGTATTGGAGAATTTTCAAGTTATCAGTTTTGGAAATACTCCAACCAAGTCACCGAAATAGCAAAAAATTGCATTGAAGATAATTTCACACATTCATTGATGCCTCCCCAAAATATTGAAAGAATTGACTAGCTTGTTTCTGCAATATGTCAAATTATGGCTGCATTGATACCGAGACAAATATTGTCAATAGATTAATGAATTCTAGTTCGATTTTCACAATGACATTTATTTCATATATCCATGCCAATGAGGGGCTTATTTATCTATATCATTGTTTTTATGAAATCTATTTCAACTCGAAACAGCAGTGACCCAACATGATTTGTGAATCGGGAGGGCAGTAAGTATCAGCTTGATTTGAGACTGATGACCTACTGCTCGCAACTTGGAGATTTAGCAACATTCATTAAATACTGATATTTATGCTTATTTATTATATTCAGACAGTTTCCAATGTGCCCAAATCCATCAGGCTTGAAAGCTGATTTGAATGTTGTGAAGAAAGCATGTCAGACATTGATGATTGCTAAAAGACCATTGGTTATCATAGGCAAGGGGGCAGCCTACTCCAGATCTGAAAAAGAAGTGCTGGAATTTGTGGAGAAGCATTCGTTGCCATTTTTGCCTACACCTATGGGAAAGGGTGTGATACGTGATGACCATCCATTATGTGTATCTGCTGCGAGGTCTAGGTAAGTTGCCTCCAATTATTTGATTTTTCAATGGAATGATAGCAAACGAAATTATACAAAAAAAAATATTGGAATATTTCCAGGGCTCTTCAGATGGCAGACTGTATATTGTTGCTTGGTGCAAGATTGAACTGGCAACTTCATTTTGGAAGGTAACTATTGTTTATTTTTCAAAATTGACCGACGTTTTTTGGTAGCGCAACCAAAGCACTAACAACAGCTGCAGAAAATTTATTTTTTGCAGCAGTGAAACTAGACTTTCCGGCAGTGAGTTATATATAACCTGTCTATCTGCGTACAATTTTTACAAAAAAACGTGTAAAAGCACAATTTAATAATACCGATATTGCTTACATATGCTTCTCTAGACATACATCACAAAATAATTTGATTTCATTTTGTCACACTACTGAGTAACAATCCTGTTTCAAAATATATAGAAATTAATAGAATAATACGGTTTTTGCACAAATGCTCCCTGTTGTGCCCAAATCGTTCAACTGTCATTACTTTCCAGTTGCCAGTAATTTTTGTTCACCAACCAAATTTGTATCCATAAGTACTGTCATATTTTAGGCCTCCGCGATTTAATGAAAATGTAAAAGTGATTCAGATTGATATCTGTGCTGAAGAATTGGGGAATAATGTTCCAAGCAGTATTGGCATCCATGGCAATATATCAGATGTGGTTAAACAGGTATGTTGAAATTGATATATATATTTATGCTGCAACTCATGTTCGCATAATACAAATAGCATTGGCGAATTTACTTTCTGGACACGTTTTGAAGCATCTGAATTGCTATCCATTAGTTGTGAGTTTTCATATCTCACCAAGCAAAGGCTGATGGGTATTTGACGTTTTTATCAGAGATTATTAGTGAATCCGTGAATATCATTTGTCATTCAAATTAACTGTTTCTATTTTTTTTTGAAAATTTAGATGCAGCAACACTTTGTTGGAATTCACAGAGGTATCATGTGGAAACATCCAACTGATTCTAAGTGGTGGGAAGCTTTGAACGAGAAAATTGAGAAAAATGATGAGCAAGTTAAGGTATAACAATTAATCGTAATTTAATTCAGATAAATTTTGTAAATGGAATGAATTGTTTGTTATTGTATGTTTATTGATAGTTTTTTGGTATATATATCTTACTTTTGCTTTGTAGGCGATGTGTGCGGATCATTCCGTACCGCTCAGCTACTATGCAGTTTATGATATATTGAACAAGTACTTGCCTAAAGATAGCATCATTATTGGGGAAGGAGCAAACACTATGGACATTGGAAGAACTATGATGAAAAACTATTACCCAAGACATAGGTTTGGAATGATTATTAGACTGTTTTGTACAAGGCAATTGTCTTGTATTGTAATAATACCATAAAATTGATTCAACATATGATTTCTCATAGGCTTGATGCTGGTACTTTCGGAACAATGGGAGTAGGGGTTGGCTTTGCAATTGCAGCTGCTTTATATGCTCAAGATTCTGCACAACCAGGACAAAAACCTCAAAAAGTGGTAAGCTAGTTTCTTTGGTTTCTATTTCTGGTGGTTCCCTGCGGCTTCCCTTCCCCAGTAAAAATGTTGCATTTTATTTAGTTTTCAATTTGGCAAAAAAATAAAATTGACTAGGACCTAGTGAAGGTTGAATTAATTCTTATTACTTTGCTATTCTTGACGACACAGTTCCAGAATCTGGTAGTTTGACATTTTGCCTGGTAATTATTGATAAGGGGAAAAAATTATTTTCATTCAAATGTTTGAATTAATTTTAAAATTGAAGAATAAGTTCTGGGGTATTCTATATAGGATTTCAAATAGGATAGTGTTTGGAATGTAACAGCAAGCAATATAGTGTATTTAACAAATGCATGAAAAGGGACAATTAGTGTCAACCTCAACCATACAAGAAATGGGAATTGTTATAAATTATTTCATGAACTCTGAATTGATATTTTCTATTTAGGTATGTGTACAAGGTGACAGTGCTTTTGGATTTTCTGGAATGGAATTAGAGACTGTAGTACGATACAAACTTCCCATTATTTTTGTGGTTGTCAACAACAACGGTATTTACAGTGGTGGACCTAAAATGTTCTGGGATGGACTAAAAACAACAGAAGATGTTGCAACTGGGTAGGTGTATTGATTTCTTGATGAAATAAAATGAACTGGCTAGATTGGTCTTGACTTGGATGAAAATCAATTCACATTTCCTGTCCGAGAATCTTTTCAATAAATCTTTTACTGAATTTCTTGAACATCTCTAATTTAATTGTCATTTTTTACTTTGGTTAGGTCACTTCCGATGTTCTTGACTCCAAATGCTCGTTATGAGCAGATAATGACTGCTTTCGGAGGAATTGGCTACTATGCAGAAACACCTGATAACTTTGATCAAGCCCTTAACAATGCTTTCAACAAACATGCTGCTAATGGGGAGCCCTGTCTAACCAATGTTATGATCGATTTGACTTCTGAGCGAAAGCAGCAAGAATTTCAATGGCTTACAAGAAGTAAAATGTGAACCTAACGGCTGTCAACCAAGTCATGAATAATTCCAATTTAATTTTTTGTTTTAATATACAGAAGTGTTTATCATCTCTTCTATGCAATTGATATTAATTTTAAATCTGCGTTTCCTATTAAATCCGTATTTATTATCATTGCAAGTGATATTATCTTTGTAAAGGGGGGGCATTACCACCTGTAGGGCTGAAACAACAACCGTTGATACGGGTGCGACCGCAAGGTATAATTTGGCGTTTTTGCTGTTGTATAGACACTGCCTTTTAGTATTCGAATAACTTTTTATGATAGCATGCATGCAAAAACGCAATTTTCGTGACAGATTCATTTAAATACCAAGACTAGTTTGAGCTAGTTTGCCTTTCCAAATTTTTTTTTTATCAGAGCAGTGTTTTCTTGAAGGGTAAATAATTTACAGCTGTCTTGCCTTTCCTTAATAGGCCCGACTAAATATTTCAGTTCTCTTCTACACAAGCATCAATATATTGTCACTTTCAAGGCCCAAAAAATGTTCTAAAACAAAGAAACCAGGCCTGCCTCAAAACTGGTGATTGATATTTAGTAGCGATTTGAGCTAGAACCAAAAGGTATCTTGAATACCATGATACATACAACACTGTGAAACTTCAGAATGACTATATTTAAAGAAGATGAGAATGAATACTCAGCTACTCAAGCGATGAAGAAGTATACTTTCTAAATATTATTTACATAATTTGATGATGGTTCAGGTATAAACGGTCGATGTCGATTGTTTGGTATATTCCCATCATTGTACAGCAATTTGTACAAATATGCATAAGCAAATCCTATATTTCAGCGAATTGAATTTGTACAATCTTATACTTGACCCAGTTCACTGTATGATTGAGTCACCACCTACCATGGATAAAGGAAAATTATACACACAACACAATTGCATAGCGGCAGTATGCCATAAAACATGGTATTGGAACTAGCTATCAGATTCATCAAGTTTTTTCTTCCTCTTCTCTTCAATCCAGAGCGTGATTTTATTTTTCAACTCTGTGTTTGGGATAACATCTTGCATTGTAAGAGAAGATCTGTTAAATGGGTCAGTGGGATCACTCATCAGATGTCTTGATATAGTAGATCTGTCTACAACCTGTTTTGATGTTGGTAAAGTCACAGGATCACGCATTAATGTTGACATTAAGGCATCAAAAAATTCATCAGGAGCATCCATAAACATCTCTTCTTCTTCCTCCTCTTGACTGCTAAAGAGTTTGACGCGTTCAGATATTTCCATCATTTTCTGTCGTAACTCTTCATTACCGATTCGTCTAAGAACTTGACAGGCCATTGGAAATAACTTATTAGAATATGACCTACCATCTTTTGATATAGCATGGCAAAAATCATCTTTTACGCAAAGGTGGACATATATTTGGCATAAGTCCACTACAAGTACTTTTGGTTTGAACTGGTACTTGGAAAGATCTCGTACCCTTAGCGCACCCATTTTCGGCCCAACTAATTTTAGCAAAAAGTCATCAAGCATGGCAGCTACTCTATCAGCCAGAGATGGATGACTAAAAAGTTCTTTGACTTCTTCGGCTTCTGTGAGATAAACCAAGGTGTCTAAAGTGTCATTTGATAATAAATTGTGATATTTTGCCAGCATTCCTAACTGTCTCAACTCCCCTTCTTTTTGCATTTTTTCCTGCTGATTCAATTCTTCCCATTCGCCTGCTGCTTTCTCACGTTCAAGGCCTTTTATTTGTGTCAAGAATCCCATGGCTTCATCCAATAAATAAATAGAATCATTGAGAAGCAGGTTCGTAAATTGCAAAAACAAAGGATGCGAAACCTCATCAATATTACTGATAGCCAATCTTACATGCTTCTTGATCATGTCATTACAAGATTTCTTCTGCCATAGATATTTTAGGATTTGATACAAGGGTTGCCTATAGTGAAACTTTTGCTCAAATTGATTTGGATCGCCAGTAAACTCTATGTCGACAAAAAGCTGAAGAGTAGCAACAGTTAAGAATGGAGAATGCGGGAAAGCATTGAAAATTTCTTCTTTGTTGCTTTTTGAATTATCATCTTCAGATAAAGGCATTACAATTGGTAACACTTCAGCAAGAGAGGCACGCAAATGTGGATTTGACATTCTACTTTTATTTCCCATGTAAATCGTAATAACAAGAAGAATGTCATGGATAAATGGGTTAAACAAGTGCGCCGATGAACGATCGAACCTCCAAATAAACAATAGCATATCGGTAAGGTTTTCCACAACATATTCAGGAATGCAGTAAAGACCTTTAGGCACAGTTTCGCCCTCAGGAAGGGGTAGAACAACTCGTGCCAGTGTATCATTGTTGTCTGACATGGCAATATGATTCAAGTATTGTGCTGTTGTACCATGAAGTCGAATGCACGCTTTGAGAAAAGCGGGCTCAGTTAACACTCCTTTTATACTCAAATAATTACGCATACCCGTCTCGAACCTTTTGACAACAAGAGCTGCGTGTCCATTTGGATCTTGTCCAGAAGCACGAATCTGACGATAAACATCTTCATCACGATTTAAACTTCGATTCAACTTATAAAATTTTTTGATAAGGCCATGGACACTGAGATAAATTGAACGGTGTGTTAAGAAAAAGCACTCTGTGATAAAATTATACGAGTCAGCTATAGTTACTGGCGCTGGTGTATTGTCTTCAGTTGATTGCAACCGGGTATCCTTGTGTAATTGAACGCCATGTACACCCTTGGCATGGGCATCAGGCTGTCCCGTGACATCAATATATGATGAATTAATTTTTAAAAACTTGGGAGGTGTTGATTTCGAGGACCCCTCTTCAATACCTATTACAACAGTTTTTTCTGAGCAGAAGGGCAAACAAAGACGAAGTAATACGCTGCTAATATTAAGTTGTGTCGCATCTGGACCAAACACATCCATAAAAACATCGACGTGTTCGTGTGACCACATTTTTGCAAGATAACCATGATGAGCAACGGTATTACCAAACCACTGCAAAGTCTTAGAACGGGTAGACTTGTGTTTCAGAAACTGTCTAATAATAGAAAACAGTTGAGAATGGAACCCATCTGTTTTATTCTGAAGATGATATTCCTCATTTTCGACCTCAGTTGGACCCATCCTCGCAACATCTTCAAAAAACAAATACGCTTTTGTTTGTGGATCTGGAACAAGACACGACTTTCCGAATAAAATGTCAAGAAAACTTTTCTTTTGTGTTCCTTCCATAACCAACTTTCCATCTATTTTAGCATCATGATTCAAAGTAACAACTGCTAAGCCAGGATGCTCAGCGAACGTTGACAAAACAGCAAGATGAACGTGTAATCCGGCATCTAATAAATCATCAAGGCTGAGATCATTTGCAAGAACTTCCAGCAATGGTGCAAAAGCGGCTTCCATCAGATCAGGCTCATTCATTGAGAAATAATCAGCAACACTATACAAGCAAAGTCTAGGAGGGCTTGTGGGATCCGAACAATCATTCGATACAAGCATATTATAAAACTGTTGGTGAACCATTCCTTTTTCTTTTCCAATTTCCATAAATAATTCTGGGCTAATAAACGCAGTTGATATATTTCGAACAATCAGTTGACGATAAAATGATATTGTCGATAAAAGATTTGGTGGAATATATTTTTCTTCATGCATTAATCTGTTGAAAGATTGCAATAAATAAACAAGAGGACGATCCTCTTTTGCCTCCTTTTCTGTAGTTTCATTATGTTCTTCTGATCGTTTCACGAGAGATTTTTCAGGGTCTATTAACAAAAGACGGTTGAAGATGAGCTGTTCGACTGTTTCATGCAATGGACCACTTTCATCATTATCCAGTAAAACGCAGAAAGAAGGCAAATCTCTTTTCACTTCCTCACTGGTATTAAGGTGCTGATTATCAGTCAAAAGAAAAATTCTTTCCGCCAAATCATTTTTATGTTGGTTCAACTTTGAGTTCGATAATTCACTTGGAAAAGTCATTTGAGTGACATCTTGAGATTCTATTTCGCTTTCGATGACTTGTCCTGGCAAATCAATTCCGCTTTCATCAATATGTGAATCAGTTTGAGTTGATAGTTTCGGAACCTCCATAGGTTCATTGCAAGAATTAGCTAGTAAAGCTGCAAATGGGTTGCTTTGCATTTCAGCATTGCTACTGCTTGCTCTATTATCCATGCTATTTTTATGTTACAGTACAATAATAACTAACAGGGGCTATTCATTAAGAAAGAAATTTTTAGTCAATAATCATAAATAGTTCCGCAATTTATTTAAATATAATATATAATGGTGGGAAGATAGTTTCGTAAAATTCATACACCTTAGTTTCTTAGAGTAGAACATTTTCCTTATAATCGACATAATAAGATCATAAGAACAAATCACAAGACTTTTGAAGCAAATCATAGTACAATGGGTCAAAAAAGACACTGAAGTAAGGTTCTGTTCCATTTCAAAAATAGATCATGAATTTGCCTATACAACAGGATTTTTTAATTCGTTAACACCATTTACCGGTAACTATGTCGTTGTCCATGGCCTTTCGTCAAATTTGTAGGTTGTGTATAGGAATAGAATCAATTAAAATATCATTCAAAATACATGAGCTGAGCATAAATGACTATGTAAATTGCAAACGATTTGGTATCACTATAAAGATGAAACTGGGAGAGTAGAATCTTGAAAATGGCATTGAACAAAACAAGCTGTAATATTCTAGGAGTGGGCACAAAGATTTCTGAAGAAAGACAGTATTTCAAAATGAGCTGTTACTTTACAGTGCAACGATACAACTTGAAACATATTGCTTGTTCATTCTTTATCAATTCTTAAGATCTGAATCTCTGATACAGAAATAGTTAACAGTCAATTGTGAGATGCATGGACTAGAATTCCTATATAAAGAGATAAAGATGAGGCAAATAGTGCTGAACTGAACAATGGCCTAATCCAAAAAATTTAAAAATAGCATCATTTTTTCTGGCGTGCCAGTAACCATTTTTCATGTTCAGAATTAAAGCTGTCAGCATTATGCGGCTCCCTGCCAGATAGGATATACATCCCCCATACATAAACTGCGAATAATACTCCCGAAATAACGACCAATTCTGTTCCAATTGTTGATTTGGGGGGAGGGCTCATCCCTTCTTGCATCTCACCCCCTCCAAATTTTTTTGTATTCTCCCAATATTGTGTCCAAAATTCAGAGTCAGATTCAGCTTTCATGTCTCTGTATGCTTTTCCACCGCCATAAGTACTATAAAAATCACTCCAATCTGTTGAATCATCCCTATTTTTCCGATATGGGCTTTTATAATCCTTTGACCTCTGTATTAAAGGAGACGAGTACATCCTGCTTTTTTTCATCAATTCAAAATTATATGCAGACCTCAGGTTTGGATCAGAAAGAACAGTATATGCTTCATTCAGTTTTACAAACTTTGCATGCATTTCTTCATCACCGTAGTTCTTATCAGGATGATACTTTTTGGACTTAGAAATGAACGCAGTTTTAACTTGGTCTAAATTTGAATCTTCTGGTATATCCAATGTTTCATAATGACTTTGGATTTTCCACTGACTTATACTGAAGCCCCTAATTGAAAAATATGGTCGGACTTGCATACATGCATTAAAGACGCTATTAAAAGACATGGCATTAATGCATAATGCCTTTATTTAATATAAAGACTTGAATACTTTCTGAGAAAATAATTATACATTTGACAGTATATTGGACTGGCTAATCAACTTCACAGTCTAGTCTAGAATATAATTTATTAATGGTCACATCGATTACTTCTGTGGGGCATTATTTGTTTGAAAAAACTGCCAGACTTCTTGGCATCCCTGGCTGGTTGAACATGACTTCCTCGTCAGTCGTCACCCATTGGCATGGTTTGTTGAATGATTATTAATAAGCTGTCACTTATTGACTGTCATTTTTCTTGGCATAAATATAAAAATTCTTATCTTATCATCAAAAACAAAAAACAAGTGCAATAGATATTTAAATTTTTTTCAGCAATATTTGCATCAAGTTGAATGTGGGAGCACCTTGAGATAACACTACATAAATGGCAAAAACGAATAGGTCGTAGACTGAACTTCATTCAAACACTATTGCTTTCATATGTCTAGTATGAAGAGACTCAAAAATAAATTAAATAGGTATAATATTCAATAAAATTTGATTTTGATTTTATAAAATAATTGGATATCTTTATTTGATCCTTACTCACTTTCAGATTATTAGCAAATGCTACAAGTCAGAATATGGCTACATGCTGAAAATAAAGAGTAATTTTTTTTTTTTTTTTCTACATTATCAAACCCAATTTTAAAAATATTCGATTTCCAAGATTCTAAATAATAAATCTCAACTACATGACATATCTATTAAATAGGAAAGAAGTAATTTCCTAATTTACATACATTCAATTACAAACAACATCGACCTATTTCAACAAATAAACCCTCTTAGGCATCCTCCAATTTTGGATGCGCAATATTAACACAATCAGAAAACTCTGTTTGTGGCTTATCAGAGTCTGATGGTTCCCTTAATATTTTCCTATGTTTTATTAATTCTGTTCCCTCCCATTTGTCAATATCTGTCCTGTTACGAGAGATTTTAAAAGCCACAAAAAATCTAAAAGAAAGTAACCCCAAAATACATATAACAAACACTTTCATAAGAACATCTGGGTTTTGATTAGAGTTTAAATTAACTTTACCAGCACTGTGACCTCGTTGTCTATAATAATGAAACCAATAATTAGTTAGTCTGTCACGAGAATGCTGATTGTAGTTCGTTTCATGCCTCCATTCATTACGCTGTGTTCTAGTATAACGATCATGAGGGTCTCGGTAGGGAGGTCTTTGATAATATTCCCAATGCTGTTGTCTATTCACATAAGGGTTGTTTCGATATGCAGATGACCAGGCTTCACGTTCATGTACTGTGTCGAAAGAGCGACGCCTACCTAGTTTATCATCATACTCTTTTCTTGTGACTGTATTACTTAATACAGTATAGGCATCACTTATCTTCAAGAATTGTTGAGCTTTAACTTTATTGTTTGAATGCTTATCTGGATGATATTCCTTGCATAGTTTGAAGTAAGCTTGCTTGACTTCGCTTTGTGTAGCTGTTTGTTTTATTCCCAAAATTTGATAATGATTTTGACTCAATAAACTAGAATAATGAAACATGGCATAGTTTGCTTGACAGCATTGTGATGTTCTTAACAATTTAGCTTTCCATTTACTAAGTTTGAACATCATCTGTAAACATACAATATAATAAACATTAATAACAAGTTTTGATCATTTATTCATTTGATCATTGCAGCATTGTGATGTAAGATTTGTCGTTTGACTGATTTAACTTCAAATTCCACGCTACCATTTTCATGCTAAAACATAATTTGTATTAATCATTGATAAAAACTTCCTCAACCGTTTAACAATTAAAAAAAAACTGTTTCGCTACAGCTTCTTTTAGTTAAATTTGGATCATAATTATTGCTAGCAAGAAGAGCCGCATAAAAACTCTGGCGAGACGCGGTTTGCCCACCATTGCAATAGACCTCATTCAACTAATTTAAAGGAGAATATTTTTAAACTAATACTTTAATAATACTGTAATATGCCTTCTTAGTTTCATAATTTTTTCAGTTTGTTCCATCAGCGATTTACAATCACATAAAACAATAAAAAAAAAACGTATCATAAGCCTACTTTACTATTTTATATAACGATTCGCATAAATTTTGTAATTTCTTTCCAAAGGGTTTGTTTACTACTGTGGAGTTTTCTATATTTTTTCTATACATTAGGTTGGGGCCATTTTTATCTGCTTTTCTAAGGAGAGCAATATCAGATCTTTTAATTTCAAATATGATAACATTCCTCATGATCCAAATTGCTGAATTGTATATCGCACTATTGATAACAAAAGAATAATTGCATTCAATTTTACAGTAAATATATGGATAAATAAAGGATCATTAAACTTCCATAATATTTTTTATTAAACACTCATTCGCTAGGTACCATATGCAGATATGCCTGTCACTGTCAGCCTGTACCTGTATCAGGATGTATGTACATCGACATCGCACATGTCAGGATCAGAATGTGCTTCACGTTGACATGATCTTGCACATGCATTACAGTATTATGTCTGTCCAAAAAATTTAATTTGTAATTTATCCCATTCTTTCTGCCCGAAATTATATTTTGTAGTTAACCGAATGGCACCCCACACAACGCTGTTATTACAGTAATACACATCCGTCTGGGTTTAATTGAAACTATGATAGTGTGTGTTTTTATGCTTTATATTTTTGGCGTTCGTGACTTAGCAGTACCGCCATCCATTAGGACTTAGGTCGGTGGTTTCGAAATTTTAGCCCAACAGGGGTGGGCAACATTTTTCGGCTCGCGTATCAGAATCGGCTAAATTTAACGACAAAATTCATCCGTGTGCCAACAAAAATTAAAAACAATGCCTCGCTAATTCAAAGCAAAGATACACAATAATAACCCTTTTAAACATATACAGACAGATTCACTATCCGGGAAAATATCAGTCTGACAACTAGATTTGACTACTTTTCTTATTCAATATAAGTGAGACTTCTGCTGCTGCATTACCGCTGATAGAGAATTTACATTGGGTACCTACTATTTTGTAACTACTTGTTTCATCTTTCAAGCTACTCCTGTTACGAGACTTAATAAAGTTCACAACAGAGACCAAAGATTTACAAGCATATGTAGATGAAAACATGGAGAATAATGCATTTGCAAAGTTTTTAGAACGCGATAAATTTTCGGGAATGTCATCCCAATCAAGCAATACCGGTACCGATAGTTCGCTTTCTGCATTTTTCTCTTGCATTCCCTTTCCTAATCGATTTACATATTTTTCCGGGGGAGAGGAAAGCTGAGAAGAGGGCCTAACCATATGGCGAACTACGGCCTCTCGTCTGATTACCACTCCATGTCGGGTATGGCAGTATGGGATTGGTTAGTTACCGGTATTTGTTTTCGGAAGCATGGACTTAATTTGTGGAGGAAGCCATAACCGACCAGCGATTACGTGGACCACTCTATACAGCGGCAAGAAGTCTAGCAATCCTCTCGCACATAACTATCCCCGAACTTTTACTATATTACGTAAAAATGTAACCAAGTGAATGAATGCTGCGCTCTTCTTACCAAAATTTCTCAAGAGCGCACTGATTTGTTACGTCATAATATATTTATTTGTAGTCACCGGAGTCCTTTATTTGTTGTGACCGGACAAAAAAGAGTTTGAATAAATAACGGATTGCTAACAAACGATAATGAATAAACGAACATAGAGTTTCATCAGATTCAGAGTCTTGAAACTTTTTATCTGAAAAAGAATGATCTCGCTTCCGAGGGCTCGCGTGCCAAGTTTGGCACGCGTGCCAGGGTTTGCCCACCCCCAAAGCGTATATATGATAGCCCACCCCTGGCCTACTGGCCTAGTCTATCACACTATCACAGCTATTTCTACACTAATTTTTTTTATTACTGCAATTAAACTAAAACTCCTTGGAAGACAGAGTGATCATTGAATTATCTGTTTATATTTAAGTTTCCGAAACACAAAAAACTAACGAATAGAGTTCAAAAACCGCGAAAACGAGGTAATGTTTACGACCACGCTTGAAAATCTGAGTGAGAAAAGTGTCTGAGCGGATGCGAAAAGGGAGCATTGTTACGTCACTTTTTGCATCTCGCTGATTGGCCAATGTCACGAAGTAAACGAGGAAGTAGTCGATGCTCGGGGAAAGGTTTCTTCTTCTTCACAGCCTCTCCCTTATGGCCCCATCCTCTAATTTTTCCCAATGGCCTTATCAAAGCCGTACCAACCGCACTGGTTCCGAGTGGAATAGAGACTACATTTTGAACAATCGGTTCAAATCAACATGAAAGTAAAAGTCGACTTTCATGATACCAATCCGTACAAGCCAATTTTTTCTTAAATATTAATCATATTAATATTAATCAGCTAGCTAAAAAGTTATCACAAACCGTTGGTATTTTTTACAAACTGAGACACATTTTGAATTCTAAAACATTAAAAGCAGTTTACTATAGCTTGTTTCACTCTCGATTACAGTATGGTATTCTTAGTTGGGGATCAGCATCTAGGTCTTCATTACAGCCAATCCAAGTTCTACAAAATAAAGCACTAAAGTGCATATCATTTGCTGAGAAAAGTCGCACAACCAACCTCCAACTTTATTGTCAGCGTGCAATTCTACAGCTGTCAGAAATGCATACTACGGAAATAGCAAAATTTATGTATCGTCATGAAAATGGTTTTCTTCCCCCTGCTTTTGGTGATTATTTTACAAATTTAAAAGATGTACATAAATACGGTACTAGATCGAAGAAAACCAGGTCTTATTTCCTACCTCAGGTTTCAACTGATACTGGGAAAAAATCCTTAAAATATAATGTTGTCCAGGTTTGGGGTTATGTCCCATTCAAAATAAAAAATTCCTCTTCATTACTGTTTTCTAAGAAAATGAAAAAGCCCTTGCTCACAAAATACTCAAAGAGTAATTGCCTTCTGACTCATTATTGAGAATATAATAATATAATTGATAAGTGAAACATGTTTTATTATTTATGTGCTATATCATTGCTATTGCTATATTATTTATTGAACACGTGAGTGTACGTAACGATCGTTTTGCGTTTTATGCTGGCACTCCTCTTCTTGTTGTTCCTATGGACCTTTCCCCCACCTTTGAACCTCGGAAAATTCTCCCTATACTTTACCATCGCAAAATTGTCAGGGCTATTTTAAGAGTGCTTTTGCGAGTTGGCGCCTGTAAAATGGGGTATGTGTTTCAAACCATCATTATGATTCATCGCATACAACAATCTGTTTTTTAAAAGTACCGGTAAAGAATTCCAGGCTAGTCTATCACAGCTACTTCTACACTAACTTTTATTACTGCAATTAAATTAAAACTCCTAGAAAGACAGAGTGATCATTGAATTATCTGATTTTTATTCAAGTTCCCAAAACACAACTGAAAACTAACGAATAGAGTTCAAAAACGCGAAAACGAGGTAATGTTTACAATCACGCTTGTAAATCTGTCTGAGTGAGAAAAGTGTCTGAGCGGATGCAAAAAGGGGGCATTGTTACGTCACTTTTTGCATCTTGCTGATTGGCCAATGACAAGGAAGTCGATGCTCGGGGAAAGGTCCATTTTAATTCTTCTTGGTATCGTTATAAAAAAAACGCTTTTCCCATTGATTACTGGACCATTTGATTTGAAATTTTCAGTGGTTGAAGATGAAGGGTATTACTTTTATTTATTTCAAATATTTCGGTGAGCTGCATGGGATTCGTTTTTTTGAGTGCGAAATTTGCCACTAGGTGGTGCTACGTGTCCATATATTTGGGCGTAGCTCTCTTGTTTATTTATGTAATGTAATATAGTTCTAGTTCAGTTCAATGATTGAATCTGTGATATTCTTATCACTATGCATGGGATTCGTTTTTTATTTCTTGAGTGCGAAATTTGCCACTAAGTGGCGCAACGTGTCCATATATTTGAGCGTAGCTCTCTTGTTTATTTATGTAATATAGTTCAGTTCAATGATTGAATCTGTGATATTCTTATCGCCATGCATGGGATTCGTTTTTTATTTTTTGAGTGCGAAATTTGCCACTAAGTGGCGCTACGTGTCCATATATTTGAGCGTAGCTCTCTTGTTTATTTATGTAATGTAATATAGTTCTAGTTTAGTTCAATAGTTGAATCTGTAATATTCTTATCGCCATGCATGGGATTCGTTTTTTATTTTTTGAGTGCGAAATTTGCCACTAAGTGGCGCTACGTGTCCATATATTTGAGCGTAGCTTTCTTGTTTATTTATGTAATGTAATATAGTTCTAGTTTAGTTCAATGATTGAATCTGTGATATTCTTATCGTCATACTGATTATTCATTTTATATATCGAGACAGGTTTCTCTGGAAGTGAATAGTATTGTGCCAGATCACAGTGTAGTATAATTTTACACATATCCTCTGAACTACATAATAACATGATTATATATTGTCGAATTATAGAAAAAAATTATTAGTCGACTCGTTTTTCTGTCTTTTTATATTTTTTTAAATTTTATACTGTCACAATCCGATGAATCCATTATTAAAGCTAAATCACAGTGAACAAAATGGTCGGGAGCCTCGGTGACCTGCTAAGGTCTTGCATACTGACCATCACAACTCAATGTTCAAATTATTCACTGCACTGTATTTCGATAAAAATCTGTAATATTGTCTGTTCTTTTTTTTTATTTGAAACATTGTTTTGTGGAAACAAAATCTCTCTCTATCTTAAAAGCCATAATATTTGGTTTACCACATTTTCGTCTTGTGTGCACTTATATTGTTATTATAATCAAAATTATATATAAGACTGACTGTTCGACAGCGTTAATGTGAAGTTTAAACCAATATATTTTTGGCGACAGATATCTTATTTAAGGTTCGCATATCGCCACGCTAATAACCGAATTGCGTAAGTCTTTCTTGGCGAGTTTTTTTTTATTAAATAGGTATTTATGTCATGCTGCGCACCTGTCTGTTAACTCAGATTTTATTTTAGAAATTCCGAAACCAATAAAAATTGAGATTAGTATGACATGCACATTTGTGCAATTGTTTCGTCATAATGAACTATCATTGTTACCAAAGGGCTATTGTGACGTCACAAAGGCAAAATAACCTCGGCGAAGTATTTTCTAGTTTTTGCATCTCGGATTCTAGCTTAACGCGTATTAATTTGAATTTATACTACAGTATAGGAAGGCGTAAATTTGTGATATTCACTGTCCGAGTCCAATTCACCTGTGTTGGCGTTTATATTGGGTGCATTGCTGTTTTATACCTAATATTTAATCTTAGTCTTATTTCGGTGGGTGTGCAGAACGTGTTATATTGATGAAATATATATTTTTAAACATAAAAAATAAGTTTAATTGAAACTGATTAGCTATTTTGGGAATTAGACATTGTAGATACTGAGAATTACATTCGTTTTTGGAATGCTTAGTTTCAGGACTGGTGCATAGTAAAGTTGCAAAATTGCGTATGTCCCCAAGTCATAGACACATTTCTTCCCAAGTCACAGTGCGCCATTATGACGTCACTTAACTGCGTCATACAAATCAACTAAAATCTGGCTACGATAAAAAAATTGAACCATGGCATATTTTTGACTCTCAATGGCATAACAATATCATTAGAAAGGTTTTTACGTTTTTCCCAAAACTGTTAACGTGACGATAGGTTTGATGTTTACACGCATCATGAAATTCGCTGGCAAACTGTAGAGTAGGAAGAAAGACAAGCGTATTAGAAAGATATCAATGAGATACAGAAGCTTTCCGTTTCCGGACAAATGCATAATGATTTCTTTTAGCTTTACAGGCGCGCCCAAGCGCTAGACTTTGAATGTGCTATAGTTCAATAAGTATGAGGCAGGAGGTGGTAGACATAAGCCTGTGTAGGAAAGAAAAAGTGGAAAAGCATACGGTACAATTTCGACATTAAGTTTTATGTAGAATGTGGTCACAAAAGCATGACCTTGAATTTGTTGTAATTTTCAGTCAAATGACGCTTTGTTGTTAGGCAGATTGGCCTTTCTTTCTATAATATGAACAGAGCCTACTCCCGACATAGGATTAGCTAGCCAGATGGTAGGTTGCAGCGACGAGAAGCTACGCGAACCACACATCGATATTGATAGGTTTGAAATTTTTCAATATTGCTGGTTGGTCGCGTAACCTATTACTCCTACTACTACTACTGCTCCATTATCCACATTCATTAATAGAAAACGATCAGTTGGCTACCTATTCCACGCCGATTGTCGCCTCATGATATGAGACAATCAGTATTTCGTATATCGGGTAGCGGTATTCACTGTAAACGCCATTTCTGCAACCAGGGGCGGCGGCCTAAAGGAAGGGGCCATGGAGGCTGCAGCCCTTTGTAGGGGGCAGCAGATCTAAGCTGTAGAGATCGCGTTATTGAACATGTTTTTTATTATTATTTCAATTTGAGCTGACATTACGTGTATAGTCTTTTGTGACTGATTTTGAAGCAATGGCTGACGCATTTCCCGTCTATGTGCTCGTCTGGTCATTGCGTGATTTACTTAGCGCAATAACACAAACATTTCACTCTAACTTGGCCTTCTCATGGATAACCACATCTATGATTTGTTCATTACCGAATTTTTTTTGAGGTTAGGTAAAAGGGGCATCATTATCAGAAACTCGCTCTCGGAAGCAGAAAAGTTTGGCACGCCCCTGCCTGCAACGTATATCTAAATGGTGATTAATTCGTCTAAATTAAAACATACACTCTAGATTTGTGTTTTTTTTTAAATCGTCTTACACAAGAGAACTTTTATTTATATTTATTATCGAAAATAAGGCAATAATTCAAACTTTGCCGAGCTGCGCAAGTTCGACCCTTTTTATTTTTCGGCACCCTGAAGTGAATTTTAAATGACAAAAGTCTATTGCGGTTAGTTAGAACATAGAACACAGATTACCTATATAGACTTGAGAAATTCAGAGGTATTGGTCGCTTGTTAGTACATTAGGAATTTGTAGTTGACATGATCGCCTGCTGACGTGACTTTTTATAACGCAAGATCAAAACTAGTATTGTATTTAAATTGAATTATTTTTGAATCTTGGGTGTATGAAGCAAAGCTATGTCAATAATGAGGTATTTATTAATTGGAGCGGTATTATGCACATGTGCAGGAAGCATGCCAAGTCTTGAAGACCACCATAAACTTCTTCTTCTTTCAATAGATGGAGTGAGGTATGTTAGGTGTGGGTATTAATATTACAGTTCAAAAACCAATGTAATATGACGGGCGTGTTTTACTTGCTCTTGCCAAGCCAATACCGGAAGACGCTTGGGGAATTCAACTTGCATGCTATATCCGTTAGGTTACAAGCCTCTTTTGGGTTAGATCAATCCATTGTGAGCGTTAGAGCAATCTTAAGCTGCACTAGTAGGAATATGAAATAATTAAACCTCAAAACAAATTCAAATTCCTAAATGATGCATAACACTCTTTTCGGACTACTACACAAAAACTTGAAGATATTTTTGACGTTATTAAAATGTTAAGCAGCGTCTGAACGTGCCACAATTACTACCCGGCGGCCATTAGAAAATCTGTAGTCTAAATTCCTAAAACGAACGAGCGCAGTGGGCTTGCTTTTGTGATACGCATTATGCCTTAGCGATGATCTGATACAATGCTTGAACTAGGTATCTTGTTAATGACGTTTCAAACTTATTATCTGCAGGTGGGATCAAACAGACGATATGAAAGGCTTTCGATATATTCAAGAAAATGGTGTTCGAGCGGAGTACATGATACCGGCTTTTCCTTCACACACCTCTCCTTGTCACATGTCGATAGCAACTGGTAATCTAATACTATAAAAGCAATAAGAATTATTTACTTGGCCGAATTATCGAAGCGATGAAAATGTTAATTTAATCAGAGTCTTAAACTCAACGGTCTCGAATGAGTTGTAACCTAAAATCATTGCAGGATTGCATACTGAATCTCATGGTGTCGTTCATAACGGCTATTATGATCTGAAAAACAACAGGACAGGACAAACTGGATTTCATGGAACCCTTTTCATAAGCGAATGGTTCGATAATGGGCAGGAACCTATTTGGATTACTGCATCTTCCCAAGTAAGAATAAACCGATTCCAATGAGTTTTACTTCCATTGTGTTGATGATATTAGGTGAAGGGTAAAAAAGGCAGTGCGTAGTGCATAAGATGTATTTTGTGCGTTTTGTATTAGTACTCCTTCCGTGTTTGGTTTTGGGCCCGCGAGCTTACTTTGAACAAAGTTATAGATAGGAAAATTCTGAAAATCGGTCAAATATTTCAAAGCTCCCAACGCCTTTTTTTTTGTAAATAATCTTGTTAAAGTTTTTCTACACATTTGACTATTGTCGGTCATTTGAAAACGCACAACGTCTCTTCGCCTTTATAAGTTTGTTCGTTTTTTTTTAATAAGCAATAAAATTGAATAACAATTAACCAATGCGAAAATTCAAAGGGACTTAAGAGTGGAGGATACCTATATCCAGGTAGTAATTGTACGTACAAAGGGCGGGTGCCAACAAGATCAATTTTAGATGCGTATCCAACGATTCCGACAGAAAATGACTGGCGAAAGAGAATAGATGACGTCATATCATGGTTCAGTGACGATGACTTCGACTTCATTGCATTATATTTAGAAGGGGTAAATATATAGTTGTTATATTAATAATGAACTCACAAGTTTATGATTCACCATTCGTTCATCGATGTACCTTACCGTACGATTATCGTTTGTTTTACTTCTTCGTCCAGCCTCTACTGAAAATTGACACTTGATATACATATACATTTCGAACATCTTCGCCAAGGAATTCACACATATATATATATAATAACACTGTTTTTTAGTTGGATGAAATAAGTCACGAATTTGGACCAAATTCGAAAGAAGTTTATCATGAGAAGCAAGTGGTCGATCGATTTTTACAATATATGTTCAAACAAGTGAAGCTTGCTGGCCTCGAAGATGATCTAAATATAATCATTGTGAGGTAATAACACTGACCTGTTCTATGCAATTCGTCGCGATACCTCAGTGGCCGTATATGTGCACTGATCAGCTTCCCGATCTATACCAATCAGTAGCTCCGCACATCAACGTCACTTGGTTTGTCTTTTCAGGTTTTCAAGTAAAATATACCATAAACATTATATTTGGTACTCCATTAGTATGAGAACCAAGATGGCGGACACCGGAACGTAGTATGTGTACCAGGTTAGGGTTAGACCATAATTTCAGGTACAAATACGACGGGAGTCACTTGGCTAGTCCCCAAACTTGTAATAGAACTGAAATAATGAAAATTGGAACAAAATTATGGCCTAACCCTAACCTGGTACACATACTAGGTTCCGGTGTCCGTCATCTTGGTTCACATACCACAGGAGTACAATACATTTTTGTGATTTCGAGGCATTTTACTAGTTTATTAGTGAAGTTCATCAGGCGATTTTTAAATCTCACGCACATCTTCCGTGATACTTATAAAAGTTCTGTTCTGTTCAGCGATCATGGTCAGTTGGACGTCGAAGTGAGCTACGTTGACGAAAAAGGAATCAATCTTACCAGATATATCGATCCAAATTGGATAACCTTCGTATTCAGTTATGGACCTCTTGGACTTATAGAGCCAGTTCCCGAGTTTAAAACTAGGGTCTACGAAACCCTTAAAAGTGAGAATATAGTTCGATCAAGAGTGACTTCGACCAGTTATCGCTAACTGTGTTGTAGAACGAACATATTTCTGATATTAAATTTTTAACAGCAGAAGTTCGTGACAAAACGTCTTTTTTCGTGGAAATTTAGCACCACCATTTTTAGGCTAGTTACATTACATAAATTCAACTACAATGAAAATTCAACATTTTTTTACCTGATTTAACTTGCTTTCCTCGACTGTTAAAGGTGCACACAGTCACATGGACGTTTATTATAAAGAAGATATACCGGAACGATATCATTATAAAAATCACGAACGAGTGCCGTCTATTGTAGTCGTAGCTCATCCTGGTTATCAGATGTATGATGTAAGTATTAAATCATAACACACAATTACGGACTTGACTCCCCATAACGAAATACAAACTAAAGGAGCAATGCTTCAGTTTGAGACAAGGAAGGTCAAATGACGACATCATGTTTGCGAAATTGCACACTGGAGACCTTGGTCTAGTTATAATTTGATTAAAATGTTTTCCAAGTGTTAAATCCACATATTCAAGATGAAAATTGTTTAATTGCACTGTATAACATACACCGATTGCGGGCGTAAACGACTTTGTGGAAAAAGTCTCGTTGCCAGAATCTTCTTGCTTTAGAATTAATTAATTCTAATTACAGGAACACCCTGGGTTTGAAGCTTTGGGAGGTGATCATGGATATGACAATAGATTGGAGCTAATGAGAGCCATATATTACAGTGTCGGACCTTCGTTTAAAGTGAGTAGTTAACGTAATTAATTTAACTTCAAATTTACAACAGTAACAATTGATATTCAAAATCAGCCCAGAAAATCTATGTGACAATGTCACATAGGCCTACAGCTCTTGAGTAATATACTTCAAAAATAGTAGCGGGAGTCCGTTTGATATTTGATTTAAAACAAATTTTCTAGTATATATCTCCTTTGCGTTTTTGAGGAAATCGAACCAAGATATTCTTTTTTTGATTCACATACCTAATATTAAATCAAGCAATGTTGTATTTCGTTTTGCATTTTAAATGCGTTATTACTTTCGTAGTGAGAAAACTTCCGAATTCTGGTTTCAGAAAGGAGTTCGTATCACGGAGTTTGAATCAATAAATGTTTATCCTCTGATGTGCTATCTTCTCGGTCTTGATCCTGCGACAAACAACGGAACACTGGATAAATTATACTCAATACTAAAAAAAGACGAAGAAGAACGAAAATTTGATATGAAAAAGACTCTGACTATTTTAGCCTTTACCTGCTTCGTATTATATACTCTTCTTTGATACCCATCTTTAATTTTGCCATGTTTTACTTCGCTGTGATGAACTTTTGATATATATGCTAAAATATTTATTTGGGTAAAGGCCCAGATATATATCTTGACTTTAATGAAGACCATGCCAACATTAGTCATATATTACCGAGCGTTTTGATTTATCACGCAGGTATAACTCAATGGCTTGAGAAATACTTCGGCATATTGTCGTATTAAAGCACTTAAACGATATGTTACTCTGACAAAAAAAAATTCCCCTTCTTCGCATTTTAAAATTTATTGTATTTTTCTTCCATTACTTATCGATCTTGATAGGTAGATAGGTATTTGTCTGTCTGTTAGATACACGTGATATCCCACGAAAGGGAGGTTGGATCTGCTCCAATAACGACACCGCGTGTCCAATCACTAATTAATTAATAACTCGCTAATTATACGACATCTCATCCAAAATCAATAGGCTTCTGTTTTGAGATATGATTGCACGTGCAAAATTTGGAGCAGATTCAACCTCGCTCTCGTGAGATATCGCGTAACATACGAAAGTGTCTAACAGACAAATGCCTATCATCATACTTGCCGATCGAGATCGATAAGTAACAAACAAACAGACAAATACCTATCAACATACATACCGATCGATAAGTAATAAACTGATTGATTGAAAAAGATTTTGGCGGTGCGTCGCGCATCGTGCTAACCGTTGGGAACATGCTTGCCACGCTTTATCACGCCTCTGAATACCCTGCTGTGTTCGCAGGTTCGAATTATGCTCTGTACTCCTCGCCGCCCGTAGGGTTGTTTACGTAACCGCTGTTAGGTTACAACTACCCCCACCATCAAGTCCATGCACGGATCAGGTCCAAAACCAAAAGAAGGAGAACTAATCCTATACACGTTATGGACTGGCAACCGCACTAGAGGCAGTGGTTTGTCATATGAGTAAGGTCAGTAAGCCATCCTTATCGGCTTTCCATCTTCTCGGAATAAATATGCAAATCCTTACTGATTGATGGAAACACTATTTGCTTAATTCAAAGAGCTTTTTGCATCGTTTCCTAACTTTACATTCCATTTGCCAGGAGTCAAAATTTACACAAAATCAATACAATACAGTAAAACATATTTATATTCAGCAGATTCTTGCTTGTTGGAACGTTCTCAAAAATTGAAATATATCGAGATTACCATGTTTCATTCCACCTGATAGCAAAAAAAAAATGATACAAAAAAAATGATATTGCTATCTGTTTGTAGAATAAATTGATCGCACAGTCAGTCCTGAATTTACTCTTGCCGAGTTTCGCGAAAGTTCTCTTCTGGTTCCAAGTCTGTGATTTCGTTCGTCTGCAGGAGGACTGTTCAATCCTTCAGCTTCATCCTGTAGGTCTGTTACTTTGACCATAAAATCTGGCTTCCTTCGGTTGCCTCTTTCCAAAAATTGTCTATGAAATAATCAAACACATGATACAGCAAAATTTTCCAACAGTAATTCAAAAAAGTTCAAATTGTATAACAGTTCCAAATAAGGCTTGAATACGCTAAAATTTTAGTTATCAAAATATTGTATTCCGGGATTCTAAGTCAAAGTTTACTTCAGTCTGGAGTTAAAACCCATGCGGGGATGGTTATGTGGGAGAGGATTGCTGGACTCCTCGTCGCCGTAGGGTGGTTCACATAACCGCTTGTCGGATACGGTTTCCTCCATCATCAAGTCCATACTTCCAAAAACAAATAACTGGCTAACTAATTCCATACCCTACATCGACTGATAAACGGACGAGAGGCCGTGGTTCGCCATATGATAAAATCCATCTCCCCAGGGATAAATATGTGAATCCTATCCTATTGAGTAGTTCGTAGGTTTCCTCTCCACAAAAATGGTAAAACAACTGATATTTGATTCCAATATAAATCAAACTAGGTGCAGTACTGATTCAAGCAATTTTTAATTATATCTGCGTAATTTTCTAAAAGTGTTATTACTTATCGATTTTAATCGGTAAGTATGTTGATAGGTATTTGTCTGAATGTCTGTTAGATGCACGCGATATCTCACGAAAGCGAGATTGAATCTGCTCCAGAGTTTGCATGTGCATTCATCATATCTCGGACCAGAAGCCTATTGATTTTGTGCGAATTATGTCGTATAATTAGCGAGTTATTAATTAATTAGTGATGGAACACAAGGTGTCACTATGGAGTACGAGCGCTGTTTTGGGGGATCCCCTAACTTTCGATCGATAAGTCTTCGGTCTCTGATCGATATTCTCGTTTATACAGTTATACCTGAAAGCTTTGGCGCCATGAAGAGGAGACAACTGAGCATCCATTTCATCACTTTTCTTTTTAGATTCAGATTGTTCTCGCCTTTTAACTTCCTCTGGATCTTCAAGAGGATCCCCATCAGCCCTTGGTGTCCATGATTTGGGATCCAAATACCAGGCCCCATACTTAACCTTCACCCAGCTCGGCATGTACTTCTGATTTTCTGCTCCATACTAAAATATAGTTATTATATCTTTTTGAATTCCATCCCTACTGCTGCCAGATTTAGATAAGGCATTGCAGACTTTTATTCCGAACAAAACCTTATGACTGATGTTTTTAAATCCCAAATGTTAAAATAGATATTGCTTCAACTATTTCCATTTTAAATTCTGTTTAAACTAAATTGTCTGGACATCTCTATGGGCATATAGTGTTTTTCACACTGATATCATCAGACCTGGATAATCTATGCTATGTAACTATTTTTTACAGTGCCATATTCCAAAAAAAAGAGAATAACAGACCTTCTTTGCTTCAGTAGATGAGGTAGTAGCTGCAGATGACAGAGCACTTTTTCTTCCCGATCCTATAGGAGATAACCCGGCTGATAATCTTAATTCCATTGGAACATTAGTTAATTCAACAACATGAATAGGAACTGACAATGCAGGCTGAAAATATACACACAAAAAAACACAAATAAATATTATATCAAGTCAACAAAGTATGAAAAATTGTGATCTACAATTATATTATCTTACTTTAGTCTCATAGCCACTGGCAAATAAACTCATAATAGTTGATTCTTCAACGTTATTGCTTTCTCCACCTAAACCTGCGACCCAATCGCAAAATTCTTTTGTGACCTAAAATAAATAATAAAATTGTTCAAATAACAAATTCGTTCTTGTCTTGTTCCCTAACATGGATCAATGATAATTGTTAGATAAATGCTAAATTCATGGATGTCCTTTATGTGTTGGAAATATGGCTTGTGTATAAATAATATATGCTTTATTATAGAATCCCTAAAGGTAATTCAAGCTTAACATTAATAATTTAGATAATGTTTCAGATGAATTGGTTGTCATGACGCTATTCACGGATCAGTAGTTTCACAATAAAGTCAGTTGTCACAATAAAAGTAATTATTTCAAACACTAGAAAAGTTGCGCTCATTCTTTACTTCAAAATTGCAATATCTGTGAGTCTAAGAATATTTTATTACTTTGGTGCTGTGAATAATTTTCTCATACGACAGCAAATTAATTGATGTTAAATAAAGAAGGAAATTTCCATACAATAAATATTATTATGACTAACTTTTTTAATATGTTCATCTTGTGATGGTGATGTAGGTCTCTTTTTTGAGCCTTTTTTGTCATCTTTTTGTGTCATGTTTCTTTGTAATATCCACTTGTATGGATTTTTTGGTTTATTTTTATCTTGTTGTAATTCAATTCTTAAAAAAACAAAAAATTGTAATTTTAGGTTATTCATGGATGACCATATTAAACACAACCTGAAAAAAACTTAACACATTAGAAAGTTGTTTTACATATCGTTTGATATCAGTGGCTGCAAGTATAGGACATTGTACAAAGCGAATAGCGTGAATAAGCGTCTTACAAAAAAATAGTATTGTTGGAAGAAACCAAAACACTATGCTACCAGTGTCTTTTATAATTAAAGTCCGAAATTCGATATTCCTACGAGTCAATATCTAACAATACTCACAAATTAAAGGAAACTGTGTGTTTGTCTTCTGATGATGTCATAAGGTCTCCAGCAGCACTTCCTTCAATTAATACATCCCTGAAAATGAATGAATATTAACGTTTACAATTAATCAAATCAACTTTGTTTATCTGAGTAAGACCTTGATTACTCTGTAGCCTGATTTACAGAAAAACACTTCATTTGTCATCTTGTGTGAGCCAGACTACAAAGGTGGGTAGTCTTGTTTTGCTATTTTGTTTTCATATCATGCAACCAAAGCTCATGGACCGATGGTTGGAAATCACTGCCAATGCAAGAGAATCAACATTTTTATTGGAAGCATCTTCTTGAAGCTTATAATGATGCAACGTCACTCAAATAATATACAGAAATCAAAGCACAACTTTCACCTTGTTGCGCTGGTTGCTGTTGATTCCTCATCTGTTTCTGCTTCAGGATTCATCTCTGGGTCAAGTATGTTTACTACTTCTTCAAATAACTAAAATATAGAATTAACAATTTAAATTCCTAAGCAATCAGATGGCCAGAACAATCAAATAAAATAAAAATATTTGATAGGGCGGCATCCCAAACTAATAAACCTTCAAAACATCCTTAGAAGTACTAAGAAGATAAATAAGATGTAAATTTTATCCCAAGAGAAGAGAAAACCAATGAAGAAGCCCAGTCATATGATGTACCACGGCCCCTCGCCCAATAACCAATCAGGGTTAGGTAAGAAAATGGATAACTATAATTTTTTCAGAAATCTCAGTACCTCAGGAGGCATTCCTTCTTCCAAATGAGGATATAATGCGAGTGGATGTTGAGCAAGTCCAAATTCCATCTCATCAATATAATTTCTTCTCTCTTCTTGTAGTGGGAGAGATTTACTGAACACTCTTTGTTCTTTTGTTAGTCTGCCCAAATACAATCTTTGTTAACTAAATATGCTACAGCAATACAATTTCATTGCTGCCAAAGTTAAGCATCCGGATGATCAAAAGAAGATACTAGTTGCCTAAAATATGTTTTCTCAGATTGCGTTGATGGCAAACTTATTTTATAATATTCAATGCTCAACTTAATAGTAATTCATTATATCAGGTATGATGGATCGTATTGAAATAACAGTAAAAACAGTTTCAAATCTTCAGACTTGGAGGCTATTTTTTATTTCTTTTCTGGGCCTATGCGGCCCAATATTTTGCAGTTTTATTTCGAGTGGTGAAAATACTGTTTTGACATTCATCGTTCATGTTCATTCATTTGAGATTCTCTCTCTTGTTGAAAATATCCTTATGTGCCAATATCGTCTACCAAATTCACTCATCAATCAAAGAATTTCGTTAAAGAAACTCAATGTTATAGCAGTACAGTTGGCACTTGATTATCAAGAAGCTTATTTAGTGAAATGCTACATGAGCTCATGGTGCATTATTTTTAATTCTCATTTTAATACCTTTTCTGACATAATCGGTTCATATCGTATTGTATGAGCAGAATTCAAAATTATTGGTCCCAAATTAACTAGTAATTATTAATTAATTTCACAGAATATTGTATATTTTGTGACAATACCTGGATTGCACATTGGTGAGGTTGCTGCTCACGGATCGTTTGCTATGACTGATAACAGGTGATATTCCTTTATCTCCCTAGAAATAGAATAGAAGGCTATTATTCATGACAATACAACCTAATATTCCTGTAAAAAAATACTTGAAAATGGAGAGTTACTGAAACTGATCTGAATATGTAAACATTTCTCATGTCATTGAAGTTTTTTTTAAACTTAACATAACTTGACTACTACGACCCACCTCAACTTCATTTCATACTGTCCCATATGATATTAGGGAAATTTTTACCTCCACAATGAATCCATCTCCAACATCTAAAGGTTTCCCATCACGAAAATCATCTACGTTACTTTTAATGAAAACCCAATTTCTTCCAACAAGATTATGCGAAGGATCATTTGGCTTTTTTGATTTTATATATTTCGTTCTCAATCTTTCTTTGTACCTGGAAATAAAAACTAGTAATGAACAACAAAACATAGAACAAATATTTTTTTGGGGGGTTTGGTCCACGTTGGAATTATTCAGCAGATGATTTTTAACTACTGTTTACCGAAACAATTTTTCATACATTCATACATATTTTAAGCATGCCTTTTATGGGAAAAATATCCATTGGTGGTAGAAGACACATACTATCCTAACCTATTCTTTAAGAATAATTTATTGATTTATTTAAGAATTGTGCAGATAGGTACCGGTACCAGTACGGAATCTTACCATGGTTGTGGACGAATTTTCTTGTCTCCCCTGCCTGGCACCAATAACAAATCATACTTATTCTGCGCCATAATAAAAGATATAACAGGATTACATTTTTTACGTTTACAATACAATAATGCCAAACTATACTTCACATGATGACAAAGTAAATCTGGTGAAATACACTGCTGGAAGACGTCATGCGAAACGGTATCCATGACGCCCATTATGCCTCACCAGTCACGTTTTGCTCACTGAGTGTCGCTACAATCAAATAGCTTGTCGGTGTGTTATTTCCCGTATGTGCTGATGTGGAGTCTTGGACTGCTGCGTGGTTCACGTAACCCCTTGTCATTATGGCTCCCTCCGCCACGGAGTCAATGCATCTGAACAAACAACTATCTAACCAGAGCCATCTAACTAATCCCATACCGTACCTGACATTGATCGGTAGCCCACGCGTCGTAGGAATAATGCGCCTTATCGGCTTCCCTTCCCCTTTACTTACCGGTACGGTATGTGAATTCTATTATTTTCTATAATGATAGACAAGCACAGCACCATCTTGTTTTATATTTAGTGAATTTAAGGTCTGCCCGTTGGTCTGCCAGAACGTGAAAAGATTGCCCTGTGTTTCGTCTACGACCAACATACTGTTTCGTGATTCGACGGAAGATGTCGGTATTGAGTCAACTGCAACCCAATAACAAAAGTAAATATCGATCGGGGCAATCGACTCTTAGTAAACTGATAAGGAAGGTACGGTAACGCTGTATTTTGAATTCTTTTGGCCTCAGCATTACTTCAGTTTTATTGTTTTTGAGCTATTCAGCATGGAGGATAAATCTCACAGTGATAGTTCGCTGTTCAACGTACCACTGAATAGCGAGTCGGGGTCTGGAAGTGACTTGGATTTTGGGGAAATATCGTTAAGTTCTAAAACTACAACATCACCTGTTTCATGCACCTCAATCAATGATGCAGGTAAGAGCTATATTAAATATTATGATACTATAATATCTGAACTGGATAACTGCAAAATCTAAAAGCCATATGATTTTGAGTACAGATTTACAAATATAATATGGTCACTCCAACAAAATTCTAAATCTAGTCTACGGTCAGACGGTATGACATTATTGAGTAATCCAGTTTTTCTCCAATTGTTTTGTATTGCACGATTGGGATGGTTATCTGGTTTGGTGCTTTTCACGATGAATGCCTGCTATAGCAGCCAATCTTGGAATATTGCTCGGATATTTCACTCAAATACCGAAGTTATTCAAATTATTTGCTTACTTAGAGAAATAAACAAATGGTAGCAAGCGAGGGTTTCTCGGAGAATTAACAATCTTTAAATATATTTATTATAGACGGTGATAATCCTGATGAAGCTGCAGAAAAAGCAAGATTAATATGTCAAGTACTGGAACTCCAGAACACACTTGGAGATTTATCACAGCGAGTTGATTTGGTAAAAGAAGAAAACTTGAAATTGAAATCAGAAAACCAAGTATTAGGACAATATATTGAAAATTTGATGTCAAGTTCATCAGTATTTCAGAACACAAATGCAAAAAATAAGAAAAAGTAATCCCAACTATTTAAAATAATGTCTTTTGTTATCAACTATCACTATCTGATTACAATTCTAACTGGTTTACAGACTTTTCGCCTCACTCCCAAATTGACTGAAAATCATAACTTGTGATCGGAAAAGTCTGGGTGACGAATAGTCTTAATACCTTTCTCACTTACAATCTTCAAGTTTGTATAAAAGTTGTTCGAAGAAGCAGGTTTTTTGAATACTGATATTTCTCGCTATGAAATTGTCAAATATGGTATAAAGTGATGGTATGCTTCTGTATACACTCACTTGTAAAATGTAGAGACAATGAAGTTGCATGTTGATTGTGTATGAATAGATATATACGTAAATAATTTTCTTCATCTTTTTCCATTATAGTTGTATTATTTGAAGCATATTGTTGTAGAATTTAGTGATTTGATGGATTTAGTCTAACTGAAGCTATATTGCAGTATCATTGTGTTTAATCATGTTAGTTTTTATTTTTCACCGACTCTCATGTGAAGCTATTTATTATGAACGATTAAATGTATTACTGTGTTTCAAATGGCTGTATTGTGTGGTGGAGAGGAACAGTATCCAGATCAGAAACTGTTAAATGTAAGCTCTAATGATATGAATCATGCTCTGATGATTTTATCCAACTGTCATCCCGAAGTATTGGAGCTCTTGTGAGCTTGTATGTGCAAATGTTATATAAATGTTGGGTCTTGTACCTCAAGTGCGATCATTTTTGCACATGTCAATTGTAACCCCCACTTGACAACACCAACCAAAAATTATGCCACTGCGACGTCACAATCACGTCATTGAGCTTGCCAAATTATACCTATGATCGCCCAAAATGGCATCTGCACTGACGCTAAAGAACTCACTAACGGCAGCGATTTCTCATATCGGATCGTTGCAACAAGAGAGTAGCTTGCTCGATTTCGTGTGATTGTCTGCGCATCTTGGATGACAGTTCGTATGAGTTGAAGGGCCTTAATTGCATCACTGTGTAATTTTTGGATGGCGTAGTCAGGTGGAGGTTAGGATTGACATGTGCAAAAATCGTTATGCTACGCCCACTCGAACTACTTGAGAAACGAAACTACATAAGACCCTAATTGTTTGGATATGATCTTGTGAATCATGTTGGAACTAATTTATATTCTGTCAACAACATCCAATTCTCTGTAAACCCAGATTACTTAGTACTAGCCGCTTTTGTACTCTTTTTCCGACCCTGTGCCCACTTGTAATGGGAGATGATATTGGCAGAAGAGCACATGTTGAGGAAATACGATGGATGGTTCCATACATTCATGGCAGCGTGATGTGTCTTACAAATGTTTATTCAATAGCTGCAACCAAATTTGCAGTTGCATCATACTGATACCGAGGAAATCTGAAAATCTCAAAAGGCCTTCCTACAATAATCTGCATAAAATCAAAAAAATCGTATAATCCTAGAATACTTTTATCTATCATATGAAATTGAAAATATCTTTACCATTTTTATTTATTTATTTGAATGACAAGCCTTTCTGGCAGGATTTCTCACTAGCTGAAAAGATATATTTTAGATAAATTAGAATCAACAACAAAAATAATTTTGTTTTTATTTTGCCAGCCTCCACATTTGAGATACCGATGTTCGAGTGCTGTCAATATCACGAATATATGGAACACATAACAATATTATACATATTTATCGCCCTGTTATAACATAACTATGACTGGGCTAATCGTTTCTTGATTTCTGCAATTGCTAGACCAGGGTTGAGACCTTTTGGACAAGTTGCAGTACAGTTCATGATAGTGTGACATTTGAAAACAGAAAATGGATCATTTAGTTTTTGAAGCCTTTCTTCAGTGTAGTCATCGCGATTATCAATAATCCACCTATACGCTTGCATCAACACTGCTGGGCCAAGATATTTGTCAGAACTCCACCAATAACTTGGGCATGATGTAGAACAACAAGCACACAAGATGCATTCATACAGACCATCCAACTTTTGCCTGTCTTCCACCGATTGATAATTTTCAACTCCTTTCTTGCTGGCATCCTTTTGCTTCAAGTAGGGCTCGATTGATCGGTATTGAGCGTAAAAATTATTCATATCAGGGACAAGGTCTTTCACAACGAACATATGAGGAAGAGGATAAATCCTTGTTGTCTTTTTCAGGTTTTCATCAATTTTTCTGAATTATATAAAGGCAATATCATCCGGTAAAAATTGGTAAACAACAAAAAGGATAGACGGGGGAAGTTCGAAACAAACTAAATAATATTCAAAGGAATTTGAAATTATAGACTTTAAACTTTCAGAATAATCAGTAGTTTCACAAGAAATGATTGTCTTTTAGGATCCCTCACAGGGCGAATCACAGCCTCCCAAACCATTGCAAGCAAGGTCACTCTGTGTAAAGTCAATTTACTACACTCATCATTATCAAATCAGGGTGGTCCAGACCCACATGTGGCCCGCAGCGTCATTATCTGTGGCCCCCGTCGCCTTTGCTGAAGGGTAATCGAAAATCGCATTTGGTGTTGTTTCGTCATAAAAATAACCAGAAAACTTTTCGACATCTTGTTACATCACTAATGTCACTGAATTGATTAGTGTCACGGCTAGTTGAATAGTGTGCCTGGGTAGTCCAAATTGTTCACTGGCTTTCCTTCTTTTTGGTTGGGAATATATTTCAACAGTTATAATAACTAACTTTTAATGTTATGGCCTGAGAATATAATTTTTTCCGGGGATGTTTTGCAACCAACAGTATTACAAAAATGCTTCTAATATGTTAGAAAAATTACCGTACTTTTCTGTACCTTACATTCAGTAAAATATTATAATCAATCATACAGCAGTTATGGCAAATATAGTCGAAAGCCCCATTTTGCTATCATGTGAGCATAAGCATTTCCAAATTTTGCTTTGAGAACCCCCATCGATGTTCGAGAGCGCTTACATTTGCGGGAGAACTTTCTCCGTTGTGAAGAGTTTGAAATCTTACATTAAATGTAGATAAATGTTTCAGCGATTTTTCTGGCGTATTTTGCTTGTTTTAGCTTGATAAATGACAAACAATGACTAATTGTTTGCACTATAAAAGTGTTTGTTTTGTATTGCCCTGTTTACCTATTTCTGACACTATTATGGCCCGCGAAGGCAACAACCTTGGACCACCCTGATATAAATCTTCCTTGTATCTCTACTGATATGATTAAACTCAATATTGAGAACAGTAAGTATTCTAGCTCTGTTATCAAATAAAACGAACTTACGAAAGGCATGCCAGATGATTTCCACCATTGATGTTCATGGCACATGAACCACATATTCCTTCTCTGCAAGATCTCCGAAATGTTAGCGTTGGGTCAATCTCATTTTTAATTTTTATGAGAGCATCAAGAACCATAGGGCCACAGTCGTCCAGATCAACTTCATAAATCTGCATGACTGGTAGTTTTCCTTTTTTCTCAGGATCCCATCGATAAATAGAAAACTTTTTCATACGAGGGGAATCTTGGGTCTTGGCCATAGTAGCAGAAGTTCTCAGAGACGAGAATGACATACCAAGCAGGCTCTGATATGATTTTCGCATCACTGTGCGAGAAATCATCAGGCCAGAAGTCATCTTGACGATAGACAATATTATATTCAATATTTTATGTAATAGAACTGTTAAGAAAACAGAGTTCTTCACATTGAAAATATAAAATCTTGGAAATCAAAAACTGATACTATTTTGCGCTACCGCCCACTCAAGCAAATGTTAACATGCGAAATCTTATGTGCCTTGCCTCATGTGAATTTGCCATACTTATGCTTGAACATAAATTTATTGGACATTTTATGAACCATGAATCCAACCTTATGGTTATCCGAATTCAAAACTTAACATATATATACAAAATCTCTCATCTAGAATATAATACTATCCTATAACATCTACATTGTGCAATATATGAAGAAAAGTTAAGCCATCCACTAGAATATAAAATAACATCTTCTTATAATGAGCTCACCAGCTCGGTAGGCTATTTATAAATAATTGAATTCATAACATTCTGTCAAATAGCTGGACAATCAATTAGTTGAACAATCAATTTTAGTAAATTTGGGTTTTCATTTTCATTACAGCATAATCCTGTAATCAGTTAATACTTTCATAGACAGATTGGGAAAGATGGTCTGAGAGTCTGGAGCCCTGATGTAGGCCTACTAGGTATCTGTCTATACTATGGACACTATAAGATTTAACAATTAAATAGATTGAACACCAGAAACAATGAAACACACATCTGCACATGGTAAAACACACTCAAAATTTCTTTGAATGCTCTCACCAAGCCGCACTGGGACCTACGGTACTGGTACCGGTAGACTACCTGCATACAGACGACTACTGCTAAGTCTAAACCTTGTACCGGTACTGCTTTATGATACAGGTAGCGGTAGTACCGGTATGGCACGGTACCGTACTGTGTACTGCTGTATGACCTTCTTATCATGCTCTATCCGTTTATGAAATTTTGTGCTCAGACACCATTCAGCCATTGTTGTTAACATAAACCACCACATCAAACAGGAAATGGATATTGGTACGGTAGCCTACCACGACAGCCATAAACTTATTTAAAATAATTGCTCTTTCGTCAGATCATTCCAGAATGCCATAAATGTACAATCAGGCCCATCGATTGCGCCTGAGAGCATCCTTAATACCAACCTAAATCAACAGCAACACATATACTTTGGAATGCTGAAATAGGTGTCATTAGCAATTGTATAAATATAAATTCTGACCGTGAGGTGAAACCACCAGTTATCATCTATCAACTTAGCACTCCAGCAACCTACATTTTTACAAGCCGTACAGGTTACGTACGTCCTAGTTGTTAACACTTAACCCTTTCCATGCGATTTTTATTTTTTATTAAATAATCGTATTTGCTACGCCGACATTTTGCATTTGTACCCCCACAACTAATCGATCGACTAACGAAAAAGTAATGATCCTCTGCTGCCCACTGACGGTTCGTTGGAAAGCTTATTTTAAGAGCTTGCAATTGGCGATTAAAAAAAAATTTTTTTTTAAAAGGGGTGGTCTGAGTCACAAACCGGATAGAAAAAAGGCATTTTTTTTCTTGGGTGTTGAAACTTCAAACCGTGATAAAAAATAGAAATATTCGCTAAATCCTTTACTGTTACTGCTTCTTGGTTGGCAAACAATAGCATAATATTGCTGTAGCAATTTCGTTATCTAACTCAAAATACTTTGGTAGATGGAAGGGATAATATGTCTTCTATTACCACCGAAAAAACACCGAAATTTGCATAAATTTCAAAAACACTCCCTCGTTCCGCCGCAAATAAAATTCCCATGGTAAACGAAAGCGAGATTTACCGTCGCTTATGTTAATCTCGAAGAAGACTTCTTATTAATAAACTAAAACCCGGAAAAACTAGACCAACAGTTTGCGACCGATTGCTAAATAAAACAGTGGAGTACATCAACGTACCCGCCGCAATCTAGCGAGTTTTGTCGAGGGTACGTATACGTGCCCACCGCACGGAAAGGGTTAACAACTATTAACGTCGATCGGATTTGATACAAAGGTGTTAGTTATGCAGGTTATGTAACACAACAAAGACGCACAATTTTTCATGGAATATGAAGGTTTAATAATATGTATGTATGTATGTTTATTCGTCTCGTAAAAGCAATATAAAAGAGTAAGTAAATATAAATACTGAAGACGGGATGTATGCACAAGACCATATTGGCCTAAAACACAGATGTGCGGCATACACCCCTTTTGATATATATAAATTATAATAGGGTAAATCAAATATGTACAATATGGTTCTTTATACAGGCAGTTGTGCAAGGAGGGTGGGTGGATGTGGTAACAGGGATAAGGGTAGAGTGTACAAAACTGTTTGTACAAAGGAGTTTGTTAGACAAAACAACATCTATAAATATAGACACAACACAACATCATGAAATATATGAATATAGTAATAAAAACTTTTTTTTAAAAAAATTAAGAATTTGGATGAATGTACAACACCATTGAGTGATGATACCACATACTATAAAACGCGGGGAATGGTCAAGTTTAAAGGGTGTGTACATATATGGTATGCACCACTCAAGGGCGATAGTGTTATAAGTGGTCTATGGCTGTTCTGGCCAAAATGTGACCCTACAGGTTTTGGTGAAATAGGATAAAGGTATGTATCAAATTACTCACTATTGTAAGGTTTTTTTTGAAATTCTGGATTCAGCCAAAAACGATGAAGTTTAAAAAATAAAATAAAAAAAATTAATAAAAAGCATTTCCACAAAACCTATTATGGTTGCATTTCAGCCAGAAGATTAGAAAGGTATAAAGGTACAGTGGGATAGGGAATGATAAGTTATAAAGAGAAGCCATTTTACCATGTCATGGATTTTCCAATGTAAATTAGAATAATAAAATTATATGGTGCAGAAGAAAAAGTGTGATTCGGTGATAGGTAGCAACAATGGAAATAAATTGAACAGCATGCTACTCAAACAAAAACCATTGTCCCTACTCCCTACTATTTGTGCATTGAAGTTCCATTGAATTGTACACTATATGAATTCACTTATAACCTAAATTGCTGTTCTTTTGTTGTTGTCTATGTTATAGTTCTCCTTGTTGATGGCAACTATAATTATTATTATTGAGGCACCTTACTTCCCAACTATCCACACCAACAATCAGCTTATATATTCAAGTATTCACATTTACTTCTAACACAGCACAGCATCAAATTTACGTGTTACTCCTAGAACAGCAAAACGAAGACACACTGTAAACAAGATATTCATGCGCCACAACATACTTAAAGAAAATAGGGCACGCATGAAAAGTCATTAGAGCATAACAATAATACAATATTATACCTATTGTATGACATCCCCCTTTTTTCGATAAATAAAAAAGACATTATATGCACATAAAAGGGGTACACTCTAATCCCTAAACCTGGCTGGAACTTGTGTAGTTCTTCCTGACTTGGTTGTCTGAGCTTTTGGTATAAATCCAGTATTTCTATCTATTGTAGGTTGAGGTTCTTTATGTGTCTCTTCTGCTTTTATTTCTTTTTCCTGATTTTGTACTTCTTCAGGAGTTGTACTGTTCTTTAGATTATTATCAATCACCGGAGCTTGTGTATAATAAAATGGTTTCAATTCAAATTTCTTTTCATTATACTTTGACTTATTTGCAGCAATTCTTGGTTTTAGGTGTTCACGAGTTCTCCTATATAATTTGGAATTCAATAGAACTGTGTAGGTTCTTGGCTCTCTAACAGGATTTGGTATATTTTCAATTTTTCCTGGCTCCCATATTCTTCTTAGATCATTCCACACATATACATCTTCATTTTTCGACAGTGGTCTTCTGTCAATGGAAGCTTTTCGATCATAAAATTCTTTTTGTTTCATCTGTTTATTTTCATTAATCTCTTGCTGCTTTTCAAGCTCTGTACTTTTCGATTGTAAAGACCGTTCATTCATAGGCATAAATGTTCTTGGTCTTCTACCAAATAACAATTCAAATGGTGATGGTGTTTGATAATCAAGTGGTGTGACTCGATAAATCCATAAGCTTGATTCCAGAGATTTCCCCTCTTCTTTGGCTTTTTTCCATAATGATTTACAAGTGCCAATAGCTCTTTCTGCGAGACTATTTGCTTGGTGATGATAAGGTGAACTGAAGGTCATTGTAATTCCATTAGCATCACGTTTTCCTCTGAACAATTGACTCACATATTGAGATCCAAAATCTGCTAGTATTGTGGAACATAAACCATATTCTGCAAGTACATTTGAAAATTGTTCACATACTGATTCAGCTGTCATATCTTGCAGTTTTCTCACAACTGGAAATCTTGAAAAGTAATCCACAATCATTAAATACTTCTTGCCTTGGAACTCAAAAATATCTGTTCCAAGTTTTTCCCATGGCCTTGAAGGTAAATCAGGTTTCATCATTGGCATTTTTGCTTGAGCAGAATGATATTTGTTACATAACTCACAACTCTTTACCATGTCAGTTACATTTTTTGTAATTCCAGGCCAAAACACTGATTGTCTTGCCAGCAATAAACATTTAGTTTCACCTTGATGTCCACTGTGAAGAGCATTCAAAACTTGTGACCTTAGTTTGCTAGGTACAACTATTCGATTTCCTTTGACAATGAGGCCATTTTCAAGAACTAAATCACATCGAAAGTTCCAATAGTCCCATAACTCTTGTGGACATTGTTTTCTTTGATCAGGCCAACCCTTGTAAATAATTTCTTTCAACTTGTTACATACCATGTCTTCATCTGTCGCTTGTTTTATAACTTCCAAATTTATTGGTGGTGCTTCACTTGCCATGAAGTGTATTTTATATTGCTCGCTATTCTTCTCATTTTCATTTTCAATCACTCTTGACAACGCATCAGCGACAGGTATTTTTATTCCTTGCTTGTACTTGACTGTGACATCAAATTTTAAACATTTTAGCAATAACCGTTGCAGTCTTGCTGGAGCGTCAACAATATTTTTCTTGAATATTTGTTCTAGTGGAGAGTGATCTGTTTCAACAATTACATGTCGACGTCGTCCATATAGATAATATTCAAATTTCTCCAGACCATAAGCAACTGCTAAAC